TGCTGCAGCCTCTTTGCTTTCTTGTTCAGCTTTGCTGCTGCTATGACTGGTACACAATCTCTTGCAATACAGAGGGTACTGCATGCATATGAGCTGCCCAAGAGCAGTATATAAAAGAGCGGTGCCATCGTGGTGGTGTATGAGCCAGGAAGTGCTAATGACCATCAAAAAACCAGCAAGATTGGCTATGAAAGTGCCGTCAAAATATACAAAACAAACAGACTGAAAAAAATCTCCTCTCTTTCAGTTTGAATCATTTTAGCATTACTGTAAGAATCCCAGTTTAGAGCTACTGTCACTTGTTAAAGTATCCCCTGAAGTAAATGTGATTTTTCAAGTTGACACTGTCCCTTTAAGCAGATAAATATTCATGAAGAATATTTGCAGAAACTGACTATTGAATATCTAAACATAAATATTCACCCCAGAAACCTAATCCTAAGATTTAAATTCATCCAGTTAGGGAACAGAAACACATCATTTGTCCATTTCAAATATTAAATTCTTGCAGTGAATGGCTTTCAAGCCATGCATGGGTCTCATTCTGCACAGGGCTGAGCTTCTCCCTTGGACACTGTGCCCTACACACTCTGGTGTGTGTTCTTTAGATTTATTCTATCTGCTGAATTCAGCACTAGTACCCTAGCCAGTCTACAGTGTAAATCCACCCCCACCCTTCCATATTTTCTTGCCCTTAGATGAAATAGGCAAAGCAACAAAATGTGTAGTCTTGTCCCAGGCCAACAGAAAAGGCTAATCCATCACTGGGTACCCCTGGGTAATTTGACTTGTGCTGAAATGCCGTTCAGGGAAGAATCCTTTCCAGAAAGGAGTACTAAGGACTGATATCCCAGCTGTCGACAACCGCCATTCCCAATGTCCGCACTTACTGCCTTAAGTAGTATTTTCAAGAGCAATTACACGCTCACACAAATGGGGATACCCACCAAAATAGAGAATGGCACAGGCATAAACTACCCATTCTAGCCCAGTTTAATTTCTATAAAGGAATGACTGTTTTATATGGTGTTCCCAAGAAAAGAAAATGTCCAGAAATGGGGTGTTATTTATTAGAATGCCCGCTATGATTCTATTACTTAAACAATAATGACCTTAGTTTAGGGCAATTCCTGGGGATTAATAAGAGGCTAGCGGGGAGTTGATGTGCCTTGGACCATTAATCCTAGCAGGCCATTAGTCCACTGGAAATGCCATGTCTTGAGGTTGGCTTGATATAAAAATGAAAAAAAACCCACCAAAAACATGTGGGGTTTTTTAACGGGTGATTCAGTTTCAGTTGGTACCTGCACAACATTCCCAGGTAGTATATTAGGTGACCAGATTGCATGATCATCTTTTGGCATTCCATTCTATGTATCATTATTTTAATGTAGTGAACTATTATAATTATTTTTATTCTTCTTCTGATAGAATAAAGGGCAAGAGAAGTGATCTAGCCTGTATGAATTGTCAGGATCAGGAAAACAGCTTTGTATTCATGAAGCCATTTGCAGAAGTTTCCTGCCCTACATTTCTTCCCCCAAGTCGGAATGAAACAGCCATGAAAAAAATATACCAGGCTGCAGTCCCCTTCTCCCACCACTTTTCTCTTTTTTTAAAAATTGCTTTGCTATAAGGGCAAAACAGGTGCTGAAATGTGAAACTCTATTGAGGGATTTCCTTTGCAGAACAGCTTGGTGCTAGTGTGGACCTAAAGTTAGACGTTTCCAATACTGAATGTTAAAATGACTGCATATCCTGTCAAAAGAATGATCCATACCGTTGACTGTCAAAAAATAGCATACTGTCACTTTAAGAAAAAATAAACTAAAATATGAACTACCAAAAACCCTGCCATTTCCAGCCTGGGCTTGATTAATGATTTTTCTATCTAATAAAAGGTTCACAAACCATCTGTTTTTCTCCCTAATGCCTTGCCCAAAGGTTTTTCGTTCCTATTTCAGGCTCGGGGCCAACTGACATTCCACTCTTTTTTTTTTCCCAGCCTTGTAAACAAACCCTTCTCTCTTTTTAATCTTCCAGTGCTGTTTCCTACCCATCGTTATGCATATTCATTGCGAGTAAACATTTTTAGTGTCTACACTTAATCTCTTCCACTGGCAATTACTGTTCTATGCTGTTTTGTAATGCAGAAGGGCCAACGCTTTCCCTTCTAATAACAGCTGGGTCGCAGATGGGGCCTGCAGTCATTGTAGAAAATAAAAATTTACAAGATGCCAGTGGAATTTATTTCAGTTTTATGGAGTCACAGGAGGAACCTTTCTGTTATCCGCCTTCAGTGAAATCTGCAGGCACAAGGCAAGCTTTTGACATTTAATCAAAGGGGGGTTCAGGTAGGGTCTGGAACAACACAAGGAAGAAAGCAGGTGGATCATATTAGGCAGTGCCATGGTTAATTTATTTAGAAGTGATTGGCTTAGATGTGTGCAGCCAATATTTGACATCATGTATATATCTTGTTTAGCATCCTGCTTCTAAATTGTTACCACTGTAGAGACACTGAGCTATCACTGCGGACCGAACCAGGTGTTAGGTTTGGTTGCTGTTTAGAGGTACTGGTAGAAATGGCAATATAATAGCTGAAGACTTAATGTTCTGTATAGTTTCTGTAGTTGCTTCATTTTTACTTTACCATATCATTCTCTTAACTACTGTAATGGCTTCTTCAGCAGAACCCTGTAGTGCGTGTATGAGCTTTTGAATGCAGGCTCCAACCTTTAATTTAGCAATAGATTTTAACTAGAATTTTTTTGTAATTTGATGCTATGAAAATGACTTTCCTTTAAATGTTTTTAGATCTCATATTCATGCGATTACCTAGATCTAGCATAGGATTAGTCTCTCAGTCATCTGTTGGTAAGTCTGTGTATATAGCATTTAAGAGCTAAATGGGAATACACACATGAAAAATGAGTATCTTCAGAGTTCTGGGCCATGCTCTACTTTCAGCTTCAACCATGTAAATCCGGAGCAACTCTGAGGATTTCAATTGTGTTACTTTGGATTTACACCTGTGTATGTGAGAGCCAAATGTGACCTCCTCAACTTTAAAAAAAATTGCCTTATTACTTAAATTCTTCTGTTTAGACACTGAGACAGCCTTGTTTGATAGCAGCTGCCCACCTGAGAGGAATGAGGAAAGAAGAAATGCAAAATAAATAAATACCACAAGGATCCTAGCCTGTTCTCAGGTATTTGAAACCTATGCCAGAGGAGCTTATGTACATTTGGGCTCCTCTTCTTCCACAACACACCTTGCACCAGTTGCCTGGCAACCAAAGGAGCCCCATAGAACATGTGTGTGACATGGTATAATTGCTGTCACAATTTACTTCTGTAATTTTTTTCAAGACCATTAACCAAAACAGGATGTTTTCCCTGTCTGAAGGATAGGTAAGACCTGCCCGAATTTGCTGAAAAGCTATAAGGTATCTGTCAGAACCAAAGTGATTCACAAAATCTCCTGATAAATAGATATGTGGATGCACCTAACAAAATGATAAATTGGACTAGTTTAGAGAAAACTCGCATTAAATAAAGTGCCTATTCCTATTTATTACACTTTGCGCAGATTTTTTTATCCAAATATTTTAAAATAGTTGAATGGGAAAGAGGTAAATTGAAATTCTCACATCTTCCCCCCCCCCTTCTTTTCTGTTATAGGTGCTCAGAAACAGAAACTTATTGACTCACTGAAATTAATTAGATTTTTAGATGGTGTGTTTTTTTCTTTATTATTCATGCATTTTCTTCATTTACCAAGCCAGTCTGTGTCTCTCTGTACCAAGGGCAACATATCTTTTCCTTTTAACAAAGGTTTGTATAATTTTGTTCTTTTTCAGGGCATCTTGCTCAGCCTATGAGATAAATGCAAGCTTTATGGGGAAAATGGAAAAAACAAAAAACAAACCTTCAATCATGACAGAGTTCCCGATAACTATTTCCTGGATTTAGGAATAAAAACAACTAAAGGGCTTGGCTTAAATTTTTTCCCTCTTAATAGGAAGATTTCCATTTTAAAAAATACTAGATTGATATTTTATATGCACAGTGTTTGAAATATAGTATTTGGTATATTAAATACCAGAGATGAATCAAGAGGGTAATGAAGAGTAAAAATTTTCATAACTGGTTTTCCCCATATATTGCTCTCCCTTCCCCATCTTCCCATCCCTTACCTTCTCCCCTCATTTACAAATTCAAAAGCTGCAAGACACTGTGAAGTCTGCTAATCTCCGTGCTGTGCTGTTTATACTGCAAATATTAGTAAAGATTTACTAGTGCTAATTCATAGATGGGTTGGAAAGAACCTCCTGGCTTACCTAGTCTGTATACTCCAGCAGTGCAACATAGATTTCTTTGTTAATGCCCATGTATGAAAGATTTCCTTTTTGGTGGGGGAAGCTTTGGGATTGTGTTTCTGGAAGAACAGTGAGAATCTGAGGGAAGCAAATTCTAATCACTTTCCAAATGAAAAAGTTCACAGGATCAACAGACAGAAAAACTTAAAAGCCAACAGAAAATATAAAGTGAGAAAGCACACTTATATGGGGAGAATTAAATAATAATTTAATAAGAACAATAGCTAAATACACAGAGAGGAAAGATGTTCCAATAATCAGGGCTCTAGCCTGGGATCCAGATACAGTTCTGTGCTCTATCACTGAATCACCACTGAATCACCCGCTCTCTTGCTTCCACTGGCCTTTGGGCTTTTCCACCCTATTCTACTTCTGTGCTCCTCCCCACGCTTCACAGCTGGAGGGGAGAAGCAAGACAGCAGTTTGTCTAGAAATGCCAACCAAGGCCAGAATCACAGACGATATGAAGCTGGGGCTACACCAATTTACAGCATCTGAAGATCTGGCCCACAGATGTAAAGTAACAATTTTTTAAAAATTCTTCCTTACTGAGAAAAAGTCAATAAAAATAGCAGCCAGTCTCGATGCATAACCTAAGGACGTGTCTGAGCGGAACAGATGACAGTGCTTGCAAAAGTCTCCCGGCTGCTTCTCGCTGGTGCTCCCCGGGTCCCGTTGGGACGGCTCATGTCGGCAGTGGCTCATGGGGAGGCCATTGCAGCTTGGACATGGAAGAGCCTGTCTTTTGTGGTTGCTCTTCCTGGTGTTGGTGTATGCATGCTGAACTGCTACTTAAAGATGCAGCATGATCATGAAAGAGAAGAGTTTGTTCCTTATGCTCACCTCCGCATCAGGACCAAGCCCTTCCTATGGGGAGATGGGAACAAAACTCTGTTTCACAACCCTCATACTAATCCTCTCCTGACTGGCTGTAAAGAGAATCACTGAACACCTGGATCACAGCAGCAATTTGGCCCATTGCTCTATTTGGACCAGCACATTGTATGGGACCCTGAATCTAAAAAATATTCTACATTCCTTGTACTGTCAAGTTATAAATGGCGTTCTGACATTTAGCCCTGTATTTGAAGAGGAGGTCACTTAACATAAAAAAATCCTAACCTATCAAAAACAAAAAAAAACCCAGGAACATTATGTTTGTGGCAAGGTGGGGTGTGAATCTACCCTGCACTAGCCTACCATGAACTAAATGTCCGTGTGGACCCTGCTGATGAGCATTTAACAGTTTGTTAAAATTATCTTACTCTGTCACTGCAGAAACAGCCAGAAAAGGAATAATAGATTGATTAACATATCCCCTTCCCAGAGCTGTGCTGACATCACTGAGGATGCTTATAAAAACAAAATATTGGGTTGTGAATTTCAGCTCCGCTATAAACCAAAAGGGAACAAAATCATTCTTTGGCAAATGAAAAAAACAACAGCAGCCAATTCAGAGGAATTCATCCCAGGCCTCTTTTGCTCCTGCTGGTTTAAAATGACCATAGGTTGAGCCTAATGGCTTGTGTACATGGATAATTATACTGGTAAAATTCCCTGTGTAGACAAGTCCTAAGAGCCCACTTCCCCGAAAAAGTACAAGTGCAAAAGGTTGTCCATGAGTCATTGCAACTGAGGCCCAATTTAAGGTAACTCTCAGGGTTACCATAACATGCATTTGATGCCCAGTAGCTACCTGACAACTCTGGAATTGGGGAAGTGCAAGACATATGACCTCTGTCCTTGCACTGGGCTCAGCACCTGTCCTATTAATCTACCCCATTGTGTCTAACAAGCACAATGCCTCTAGGAAGTTTATGGGAGAGGATAGGAGAACATAGCCACAGTCAGGGCCAAATTAACTCTCTTATGGGCCCGGGGCTATTAGATTTTGTGGGGCCCCTGGAGATTTGGAGTGGGGGATTGGACTCAGGGCTGGGGAAGGAGGTTGGGGTGCAGGAGGGGGTACAGCTCCAGCTGTGGGGGTGGACTATGGGGTGGGGCCAGGGATGGGATAGGGGGTTGGGGTGCAGCAGGAGGTTCGAGGTGCGGGCTCTGGGTGGGAGTTTGGGTGCAGGAGGGTGCTCTGGACTGGGACGGGGGTTGGCATGCAGGTGGGGGGGCAAGGTCTGGGAGGGAGTTTGGGTGCAGGAGGGGGCTCTGGGCTGGGACAGGGGGTTGGGGTTCAGGAGAGGATGTGGGGTGCAGGCTCCATCTGGGAGGTGCTTACCTCAGGCGGCTCCTGGTCAGCTCCCTGCCTGCCCTGGCTCCATGCTGCTCTGCTCCCCGAGGTGGCTGACATGTCCGGCTCCTAGGTAGAGGGGCCAGGCCCCTCTGCGCGGTGCACGTTGCCTGTGCCCAAAGGTGCCGCAGGCACTGCCCCTGTAGCTCCCATTGGCCGTGGTACCCAGCCAATGGGAGCTGCGGAGCTGGTGCTGGGGGTGGGGGCAGCGCGCAGAGATTCCCTGAACATCCCTCACCTAGGGGCAGCAGGGGTACATCGGCGAGCTGGTGCTCGCAGCTCCAGCCCCAGGGTGGGCGCCGAGGCTCGGGACTGGTGTCTGGCCTGCGGGCCTGATGAAAAGAAGCAGCAGGCCTGCAGGGCCCCCCTCAGCCCGAGGCCCAGGGCTGCAGCCCCTAAAGCCCCTGCATTAATCCGGCCCTGGCCATAGTGCTGCTCCGGTAGAATATACAGCCTCAGCACCATTTGCACCTAGCCAGGTCTGCTGTATGGTATGGTGGAAAGGCAAGTGTGATAAATGAAGGTGGGGGACGGTTAGCTCCCTTTTATGGACACCCATCCAGCCAGTTAGCTATAAAATCTCTCTTTGTAGCTGTTCTCTACTAGCTTTACCTGTAAAGGGTTAAAAAGTCTGACTGCATGCATAGGTAAAAGGAAGTGAGTGGGCACCTGGCCAAAAGAGCCAATGAGAAGACTAGAACTTTTTAAAATTGAAACAAAGACTCACCTTTTGTTTGTCTGTTGTTCTCCCAGGGAGAAGTGCATGGGCAACAGCTATGCTGTAAGAAGCTTGGGACAGGTATGAAAAAATCATCAATATCATACCGATGTAAGCAGAGACAGGGTGGGCTCCACCCTGACATCTGGTGGTGAGGTGTGGCAAGTTGTGGAAAAGAACTTCAGGGGCTGATCTCATTTGCATAGGCACACCCACCCCGCCTAGCAATAGGCCATAACTGCCCAAATGGTCACTTTGGCTGCTGTGGGATCCCCAGTGTCTCTGTTATTGGGGCGGGAAGAATAAATTGTTAGTACCCTGATTATGGGAACTGTGCTTGGAACTGTACTTGGCCTTTTTGTTATGATGGAGGACTCACCATCAACTGAGTAGCACTCACTAGGCAAGGGACATGGGTTCCAAAACTCTGTGAATTAAAAGAGGCTTGAGACAGGTATTAGTGCCTGGTGGTGTAGGCCCCTTTGTGAGGGCCTGAAGCACCAATTGCACCTCTGTCTCTCTCCACTGTGGAATGTCAGAGCTAATTTTGGGTCTATTAAGAGCTTTGTTACAGGTACTGTGCTGAATTCACTTCAGCCTTATGGTGCACCAGCACTAAGGCTCCCACTACTATGAGCTGAAATCACTGAGAGCTAAAATCACTGAGCACTGTGTCAAGTAGTGGGGAGCCGGAAGATCTAGTGTGCAGCGGAGCTATTTGTGAGACGGCGGGGTGAGCAGAGCTGTTTGTGAGACAGCGGTTTGTTCGTGAGACGGCGAGCTGAGCGGAGCCGGTCGTGAGACAGCGGCGTGTTCGTGAGACGGCGAGCTGGGCGGAGCCGGTCGGGAGACAGCGGCGTGTTCGTGAGACGGCGGGGTGAGCAGAGCTGTTTGTGAGACAGCGGTTTGTTCGTGAGACGGCGAGCTGAGCGGAGCCGGGCGTGAGACAGCGGCGTGTTCGTGAGACGGCGAGCTGAGCGGAGCCGGTCGTGAGACAGCGGCGTGTTCGTGAGACGGCGAGCTGAGCGGAGCCGGTCGTGAGACAGCGGCGTGTTCGTGAGACGGCGAGCTGAGCGGAGCCGGTCGTGAGACAGCGGCGTGTTCGTGAGACGGCGGGGTGAGCAGAGCTGTTTGTGAGACTGCGGTTTGTTCGTGAGACGGCGAGCTGGGCGGAGCCGGGCGTGAGACAGCGGCGTGTTCGTGAGACGGCGAGCTGAGCGGAGCCGGTCGTGAGACAGCGGCGTGTTCGTGAGACGGCGAGCTGAGCGGAGCCGGTCGTGAGACAGCGGCGTGTTCGTGAGACGGCGAGCTGGGCGGAGCCGGTCGTGAGACAGCGGCGTGTTCGTGAGACGGCGAGCTGGGCGGAGCCGGTCGTGAGACAGCGGCGTGTTCGTGAGACGGCGAGCTGAGCGGAGCCGGTCGTGAGACAGCGGCGTGTTCGTGAGACGGCGAGCTGGGCGGAGCCGGTCGTGAGACAGCGGCGTGTTCGTGAGACGGCGAGCTGGGCGGAGCCGGTCGTGAGACAGCGGCGTGTTCGTGAGACGGCGAGCTGGGCGGAGCCGGTCGTGAGACAGCGGCGTGTTCGTGAGACGGCGAGCTGGGCGGAGCCGGTCGTGAGACAGCGGCGTGTTCGTGAGACGGCGAGCTGAGCGGAGCCGGTCGTGAGACGGCGAGCTGTGCAGAGCGGAGCCGGTCGTGGTGGAGCGGAGCAGAGCCCTGTGGGGCAGTCAGCTTCAGGACACGTAAGGTGCCCCTTACCTCTTTCCCCCACACCCAGGCACATTTTAGCCAGATTGGGGAGTAACACTCTGCAGGTGAACTTTTGAACTCCGGGGCTGGACTTTTTTTGGACTTTGGGTGATTTGTGGATTGCTGGACTCAAGAGACGTTTGGGTTCTGGGACTCAAGAGCCTGAGGGAAAGGATGTGGCCCAATTTTTCTGGGGTGGGTCGGTGTTCATGGTTTGGTTAATGAACACTAGTCATGGTGTTTCCCCAATTTAATGCTGATGTTGTTTGCCTCATGTTATTAAAGATTCTCTACTACACCAAGACTCTGTGCTTGCGAGAGGGGAAGTATTGCCTCCTTGAGGCACCCAGGGGGTGTGTAAGATTTTCCCAGGTCACTGGGTGGGGGCTCGAGCCAGTTTTGCATTTGCTTTAGTGAGAGGGAACCCCTGTGTACTGAACCCGGCCCTTGCTGCTATCAACTTGGCCTGGCAGAAGGGTTACACCTAGAAACTACTCATTTAAAACCCCAGATATGTAAGTAGATCAGGAAGACATGATTAGGTTTATTTCTTTTATTTCTTTATGGCTTGTGGACTCCTCTGTGCTAACTCCCAAATGTTTTACTTGTAACCATTAAGCTGGACCTCAAGAAAACCATTCTTGATGCTTAATTATTATATTTGCTCTTTTTAAATCTAGCAATAGCTGAAGTTCCAGATGTATTTTCTTTCTTTTTGTTTTTAATAAAATTTACCTTTTTTAAGAACAGGATTGGGTTTTTGTGTTCTAAGAGGTTTATGCATATGGTGTTTAATTAGCTGGTGGCAACAGCTGATTCCCTTGGTTTTCTTTCTCAGCTCTTCCCTGGAGGTGGGTGAAAGGGCTTGAGGGTACCCCACAGGAAGGAATTCCCAAGTGCCCCTTCCTGGGTTCAAAGGGTTTTTTTGGTTTTTTTTTTTGCATTCGGGTGGTGGCAGCTTCTACCCATCCAAGGTCAGAGAGAAGTTGTAACCTTAGGAGTTTAATATAAACCTGGAGTGGCCAGTATTAATTTTTAGAATCCTTGCTGGCCCCCACCTTCTGCACTCAACAGGGGGTGGGAGAGAGAACTGCCCCTAAAGGCCAAGGGGTGTAACTACAGATTTCTCCTAGATTTCACTCCTAGAAGCAGGAAAGTAGGAGAAACGTCTGGAAAAAATATCATCTTGTCGTTATTACACAAAATTCAAATAAAGTTTAAAGTAACTGAGGGAATGTACTATAACATGCATGCTCATTTTTTCCAATTAAAATCTTTATTAGGATTTGTACTGCAGTTAATTGCTGCAATTGTACAGTCACCAAAATCTGCAGAGATGTAAGAGCCCCCAATGTACTCTCTGACTTGAGGGACAATAATGAGTCTGAAAAGAATAGGTCAAAAAAACAAACAAAAAGCACACTATGTAAAATAAGCCACTGAATGCGCATTTACATGAATTTAGGCAGAAGATCATCAGAGATTCATTCCAGAGTTGTTTATTACAAACT